TTATATTATATTATATTATATATTATATTATATAATAATATAATGATAATAAAAACGCGATTACAGTAAATACGTATTAAATAATGTTTGATTACAAACTGATATAATCTTCATTATTAATTTGAAAAGTTCTTACAGATCATATTAACTCAACATTATTTTATTATCAATAATCATATTAACTCAACATTATTTTATTTTTGTATTTATTTTTATATTTCTTTCTTTAAAATATCTATTACTTTTTCTGTATTACTATCATTGTATTAGGTGTACAACTTTGCTTCCGACGTTTTCCTATAGATGGCTTTAGCGGTAAGTGATGGTCGAAATAAATAGATCATAGACGTAATACAATAAACTTGGCATCTGTCAACATAACCCCATAGAAACATTAGTCGATTTGTGTCTGCATCATAAAGTTATTCTCGATTGAAAATGTCAGTTTACGAGCCATCGTAACTCGTCATTTGCGGGAGGTTTTAATTTTCTGCTTCAACATGAAGAAATCTACGGCTGAGGCTCATCGAATTCTCTCAAATACTTATGGTAAGGCCGTTATTAGTGAAAGAACGTGTCGTGAGTGGTATCAACGCTTCAAGAACGGTGATTTTGACATCGAAGACCGGCATAGCGGTGGAAGAGAGAAGGTTTTCGAAGATGCAGAATTGGAGGCATTACTTGATCAAGACTCGTGTCAAAATCAAGAATTGGCATGATCATTGGGAGTGACTCAACAAGCCATTTCAAAACACCTCAAAGCCATGGGAATGATTCAGAAGCAAGGAAATTGAGTGCCGTACGAATTGAAGCCGAGAGATGTTGAACGGCGTTTGTTTGCTTGTGAACAGCTACTTGAAAGGCAAAGACGGAAAAGATTTCTGCATCGCATTGTGACTGAGGACGAAAAATGGGTTCATTACGATAATCCCAAGCGCAGAAAATCATGGGGAGTTCCCGGCCATGCTTCCACGTCGTCGGCCAAACCGAATATTCACGGCTTCAAAGTCATGCTCTGTATTTGGTGGGACCAGCTTGGCGTAGTGTATTATGAGCTGTTAAAACCGAATGAAACAATCACAGGCGATCGGTATCGAACGTAATTGCGTTTGAGCCGAACATTGAAAGACAAACGGCCGCAATACAACGAGACACGATAAAGTGATTTTGCAGCATGACAATGCTCGACCCCATGTTGCAAAAGTGGTCAAGACATACTTGGAAACGTTGAAATGGGAAGTTCCATCCGCCGTATTCTCCAGACGTTGCTCCCTCTGACTATCATTTGTTTCGATCAATGGCACACAGTCTGGCTGACAAGCACTTCCGGTCTTATGAAGAAGTAAAAAATTGGATCGATTCGTGGATTGCTACAAAAGATGACCAATTTTTTTGACGCGGGATTCGTATGCTGCCCGAAAGATGGGAGAAAGTAGTGGCCAGCGATGGACAATACTTTGAATCATAAATGTATAACCAGTTTTTTACAACAAAGCCTCGAATTTCGGAAAAAAAACGGCGGAAGCAAAGTTGTACACCTAATACAATCTTTTTTTCATAAGGTACTGCTTTTCTAACAAATCAAAGGTTTTTTTTAAGATTTAGTACAACTTCTTAAGCTTCTATGTCTGAGTATCAAAGTGTACCATTACATATATGTAAATTATATTTAAAAATTATTGGGAGTACAAATAAGTCTCCGCCGTTTGACAAAAGATGGCCCCACCAGTAAGTTATGTTTAAAATTGTCAGATGTAAAACGTCATATCGTAAGATTGGACATCTGGCAACACCATAACCTTGAAATATTAGCGATTTTGTATGAGCATCACAATTTTTTTCGTGCGAAAATGTCGAGTTTTGAGCCGAATAAGCGTCATTTACGGGAACTTTTGATTTACTTCTTTAATTTGAAGTGTTATAATCGCGAATAGTATTAGCGCTTTCGAAACACTTCATGAGGAATCGTTTCGATTGCGCCACAACAAGAAGGCGGATGTGCAAGTGCTGCGATAAGCACCACCTTGCACATTCCGCATTTTGGACCTCGATTCGAAATGCATTAAACCATTACCAAATATGGTAATCTTCTTGTCGCCAGGCACCTCTTCCGACAAGACTAAACAATATTATAAAAGAGCGGAGAAGACCACCCGCGTCAGACTTAACACCTCGGTCTCTCGCCGCGACATACGCGACCAACGCGCGGTTTGCACATTACTAATAAGAATTGGGAGTAGTAATTAAACACGTTCGAATACTATATATAAACCTACCAATAAAAGCCTTTATATTTAAATCAAAAGGAAACGACTACAATTTATTACTACTTATCAACCCACCGCCACACACCCAGCCGCGCCCGTGTCACCGATCTCGAACTCTTTCTCGCGTCCCGGTAACACGGGGCAAGACAGAAGAAATCTGCAGCTGAGACGCATCGATTGCTTGTAGAAGCATATGATGAGGCTGCTTTAAGTGAGAAGTTGTCGTGAGTGGTTTCAAAAGTTTAAAAACGGTGAGTTTGACGTCGAAGATAAAGAACGTAGCGGAAGGCTGAAAGTGTACGAAGACGCGGAATTTGAAGCATTATTGGAGGAAAATTCGTGCCAAACTCAAGAAGAACTTGCACTTATATTAGGAGTGACTCAACAAGCAATTTCACATCGTTTGTTGAGAATTGTTGAGAATGATTCAAAAGCAAGGAAATTGGGTCCCATATGAACTGAAGCCGAGAAACGTTGAACGCCGATTTTGCACATGTGAAATGCTGCTTGCCAGGCATAAACGAAAAGGTTTTTTTGCATCATATAGTCACTGGTGATGAAAAATGGATCCACTACGAAAACCCAAGTAGAAAAAATCATGGGGACCACGTGGCCATGCTTCAACATCGACAGCCAAGCCGAATATTCTTAGAAAAAAACTCATGTTGTGTATTTGGTGTATACGTGTCGACGCCGTTGATTTTGGTTGTTTGTGTCACCTGACAGAGGCTTGTTTAGACGCCGGTTTGCGAGGTGTGACGCACGGTGTGCGGGACGCGGACGACGTCAGTGTCGCGTATTCGCGGGTTTATTCTGTTGACGTTTCTTTCGGCGTCTTGTCTCTTAAGCGCGGTTGACAACTTCTT